GTGAGGTAATGTTATAGGAAGGTCAGATTTTCAGGTATAGACAAGGAAATAAGTTTAACAAGAAGAAGGATATATATATAAACTTTAGACTAGTAGACTTTCTATAAAATGATTATAACAGCAAAATGAAGTTCTACCTTTTGATTTCCCATATGGCTTTACCTGGAGCTAAAGGTCAATCCATCAGTGTCCATTTTACTAAAACCCTCCAGTGTGACACTTTTCCTTCCTTTCATCCAGTGTGGGGAATAAATGAAGTCACATAAGCCTAAAGAGAACCAGAGTAGGTAACAGTAATCAGTAACATAACGTTAATAGTAGAGAGAGATGGTGCATTTACAAAGAAGATGGATAAAGACTCTCAATAATGCTACAAATCATGTGACTAGCTTCCACTTTTAGGTACAACACTTTTATGCTGCAAATTTCTCTCCTGATCCACTGTTCTTTTAAAATGAATTTGGATGTTTCTAGCACCATCTGAAATTTTACCTCTTTAGGGACTGCATATCCTAGTCATTACAGTTACTTTATACATTCTTCCACTGTGCACCCCAATCCCCCATCTTGTAAGAAACCAAAGTGGGGTTTGTTTTGTTCTGGGTGTGTTTTCTTTGTAATTTTAATTAATAAATGAAGTATTTTGTATGTTAATGATATCTGTCGATGATTTTCTGTTTTTTTTACAATGGTTGAAAAAGTTATTTGGGTAGAGGTATTGAGCTAAATGCAGTTTCCCTTTTTTGTTTTTTGAAATCATTGCCTATATGGTATGCTCCCTCCCCTACTTAATGAGATATATAACAAATAAACTTGTGACCTAGAAGGATCAAGTATTTTTTAAGTTTTTGTGCTCAGTAAATCAGGACAATACTTTAGGAGAGAGGTTCTTCTTGGTCACTTGCCAAGCTTTGGTGATTTTCATTGGTTCCTGATGATGGTCTGATTTTTAGCTAGTCAATCACCTAAACCACTTGAATTCTTCTATTTACCTGCTACCTACTCTGATTTCGGCCTGTGCAGCAATACCACTTGAATCAAACCTATTCTGCCATTTACTTTAGCTTTTACCTTGTAAGAATGCTACCAGTTTTGACCTCGGCTTGCGTGCAGCCAAAAATCGTGTTTGTCGACTAGGTAATTTTCTTCAGTTTCTGTATATACTCATCAGCTGCTGTCAGAGCAGCAACAATTTGGTACTGACACCTTCAGTAAATCCTGGTAAGGATCTGCACCTTTATGAAGTCCTTGGTTTCAGAAGCCCATTTTAAACTTATTTATTGATTCCATCTTGACTCTTCACATGTTACAGTTTACCTATTGCTTGTATGTTTTTACAAAGTGAATCAGAAACCAGTGCTCTATTCCTAAAGCTAAAATGTACTTTAATCACTTTCTCCACAGTATAATCAAATATTCTTATAGTCCATTTAAACATGAAGATTAAAAACACATTATAGTGCCTACAGCATGTGAATTTTTTGTCAAAGCTCATATCTTCCTCTTGTTTCTGTGCCCCCAGTGTGAATAAACTCTCACCAGATATTCTGACCCTTATGTATCAATGGGTCAGGCTCAATGTAAATATCTTTCTCACCTCCAGATGTCTCCTCCTTCTTGCCAATAATCCTCAGATATTCCACTGTCCTTATGGTACTCACAGCATCTCAATTCAAAAACCAAAAATACCACTTCCATAGTATAGCATATTATAATAACCAGTGTAATACAAAAACATTTTGCTTGCATTACATATAAACACAGTGCTCCCAAAATAGTCCCACATGTGCTTGTGCAAATCCACTCCGCAAACACCAGCATGCTGGAACCCCAAGCAGATGGATTCTCACCAGAATCTGAAACCCATGGTTCTCATAGGGGCTTAAAAGGCTGAATAGACACATCCACCGCTTGCTCACTTCTTGTACTTCAAACTCATGCCAAACGCTCCCATGGTCCCTCAGATTATTCAAGATAATAATATGGGAAAACACAGCTCATAGTGTAGTAGGATTAAATCCACTGTTTATTTATTAAATAGATGCACTCAGATATCCAGCCCAGCAAATAACACAGCATACAATGTTAAAAAAAAAAAAATGATGATGGTGGACCCCTAACTTTCGATTCTTGCCTGTTTCTGACAACACTTCTTCAACATGTTTTGTCATGTGAGAAAAACTTGAGCAGTGCTATATGAGTGCGTACAATAAATACAATTATCCTTAAAACATTTTACTTTATATAAAATGCTCATAAACATGTGAATACCATAACTTAAATAAATCCAAATTTAGTTTTCACCAAAAAATTCCAATAACACAGAGACAATTTTGGTGAAAACAGATTTCTGAGTTATTGAAAGTATGGTATTCATGTGTTATGCTATTTAACAGACCAAAAGGGAACAGATTAAAGGGAGCATAAGAGAAGTTAATTGTTAGTTGTTACATATGTTTTAAATCTGCAATGGGATTGAAGTAGAACAATAGGCAAAACTTTTTTTTGCCCCTGTCAGTTTATTTTGTGTCATCTGTGTCCCATTGGGGATATTTACCTTAACTTCCTGTCCCATAGCCAAAACAGGAAGTGAGAGATAATCCCCAGAAATTAAGGGAATTCTTTGGGTCCCCCAGGTCACTGGAACTAGTGTCCTCATTGGAAGATTTCCCCTTAGTTACTTTTATAGGGACAACCCAAAATTTGGGGTTTTCTTTACTTTCACTTTCAATGATAATGATAAACAGGACAAATAGAGAGGGCAAATATCCCTAATGGAGGTACAGACAGCAATACAATTACATTAGGTGTTCTAATCCATCTCCATTCTGTCTAAAAAATGTTTTGCCTTTAGCTGTACTTTAATAGACATTGTATGGTAGGTATTTTTCAAGTTACGGAATACATACTACTTTCAGATATTTTGGATTATATGTAGTTGGTTGTACATGATCAGGGGCGGACTGACCATTTGGAAACTTGGGCACTGCCTGAGGGTCCGGGGTCAGTAGGGGGCCCCAGGAGATGCCCCTGGTACCTTTTTCATACGCTTTTTTGAGTTTGGGCAAGGACACAGGGGCCCCATGATCCCCTATTGCCCGGGGGCCCCATGAGTTGTCTGTCCACCCCTGGACATGATAACAAATGACTTTTGTATTGTTGTTCACCATCATACTGTAAGCTTTTCTTACCTCCTTTTCTTCTTACATTCTGTTATCAATGTGTTTTACTATATTAAGGATAATGATGTTGCTATACAATGTCACATTCTGCCCTGGATGAACCCTAGGTTAGTCCGATTGGGTATGCTCTGTCAGTTTTTTCTGGATCATGAGCTCTGCACTTGTATAATAAAATTTATACTTTTATCTCTCAGCCCAACCATTGCTATAGATATAGGTATCATGAAATATTCATTTTATCAAACAATATCATTATTTACTAAGAGATAAATAGCAATCCTGTGTAGAGAGAAATGTGTGGATTGCCATTGATGACCTTCTGGAAATGTTAGCTGCCTAGTTACCCAGAGGCTTACTGATCCAAAGGCTTTAATACTTTCAATGTCACTGATCTAGAACAAGCAGGCTAATAAGAAATTCTGACTTCACTTTGACCTGTGACAGCACATTTTTATTTACCCCCTAACACAGGTTTTCCTCTGGCTGCAAACACACTGGAAGTAAGCGTGCAGAGATCATCACTTCAATCTTTAAAGAAGTAAATGCTCATAAATGGGTGGAACTTGGACCTGAAATAGGCTTAATACTTGTGTTGGCAGTGACTTCAGAAGGTTTATATGAGGAAATAATACCTATGCCTGCTCTAATCACATAATCTAATGGATAAAAATACCTAAAATTATTTATATCCATTATGTACTTTCAAAATGATGCAAAATGATAGGTGTAACCAGGTAGGTTACATATGCATATTTTTCTTCTTGTATTTGCACATATAGGTGTATTTAATTACATTCAGTAATAAGATTTAAACTATGTAAAAAAATATTGTTGAATAACAGACCTGAAAATTAACAGTAAATTGTTAAATAAACTACCACTTTTTATGTATTAGCGTGAAATTAACACTTGTTGCTGTGGACTAGGGATCAGCTATCTGTTTGGCTCAAGCCTAAGTTCACGCTGAACCTTGGCTGTTCAGATGAATAAATACAAACTTTAGGGGCATTTGGCCTGAATTGCACTGTCAAACATCTCATAATGCATAGCAATCAGCTGTCATTTATCAAAGCCATGCACCTGACCTCTGCTCATGTGCTAGAGTTTTGCCGAGGGTGTTTTTTTCATAATTCCTAGCCCACATACTATAAAAGGCTGCTGTCTCAATGTGTGTGAGTTTAGAGTGAGCGTCAGCTGACAGTATTGCAGCGAGAGTTAGTGACAGTTTGGAGTGTTGCTACAGCTATATAGTGCTATATATAAAGTACTCTATTCAATGCTATATGTTGCCATTGATACTCTGCAGTGAATTGCATGTTGTGTGGTTAGGAAGAGCGGAGTGTAAACTTCACTGGGATTTGATTGACCCAAAAGTCCTTTAACCACTAGCCTACAAGGCACATATACCCCCTTCCTGCCTAGGCCAATTTCCAGCTTTCAGTGCTGTTGCAATTTGAATGACAATTGCACGGTCATGCAATGAAAATACCTATATGAAATTTTTATCATTTTTTTTTGTGACAAATAGAGCTTTATTTTGGTGGTATTTAATCACCTCTGGGTTTTTTATTTTTTCTTAAACAAACCAAAAACCACTGAAAATTTTGAAAAAAAAAAAATGTTTTTGTTATACAATTTTGTAAATAAGTGATTTTTCTTCATCACTGATGTGCGCTAATGAGGCTGCACTGATGGGCACTGATAGGCTGGATTGATAGACACTGATAGGTGGCACTGGTAGGTGGCACTGATGGGCATTGACAGGCATCACTGATGGGCACTGAAATGCAGCACTCATATATGGCACTGATAGGTGGCACTGATAGGTGGCACTGATAGGCGGCACTGGCTGGCACTGTTAGGCGGCACTGATAGGCAGCACTGACAGGCACTGATAGGCGGCACTGACTGGCACTGATAGGCAGCACTGACTGGCACTGATTGGCAGCACTGATAGGTGTCACTGACTGGCATTGATAGGTGGCACTGACTGGCACTGATGGGTGACACTGAAAGGCAGCTCATATGGGCACTGACATGTGGCATTGATGTGGCACTGATGGGCACTGAAATGTGGCACTGATGGGCACTGGCAGGTGGCATGGATGAGCACCGAGAGCTGGCACTGATGGACACTGACAGGTGGCGCTGCTGGGGCTACACAGATCATCAGGGCACACTGATCATCAGTGCTCTGATGATCTGTGTACATGTCCCCTCCCAATTACTGGTTTACATGTGATCAGCCGAGATTGGACACAGCTGATCACATGACCGAGCCAATATCTTCGGCTCTTTCCGTGGATCGGTGATCCGCTGTGTCTGAGGGACACAGCGCACCACCAATCGCTCCCGGAGCCACCCATGCGCGGTTAGAATGGAGGACGTCATATGACGTCCTCCCAGAATGAGAGAACCACCTTTGCATCCGTCATATTACTATATGGTTGGCGGGAGGCGTTTAAAGTGGAACTTTAGTCCTGATAGACTTCAGGCTGTAAAACATTAAAATAAGTGTCTATACTAGTGGTCTTCAAACTGTGTCCTGGGGTCAGATGTGGCCCTTTGCTTGCCTTTTCCCTGCCCTTGGGGCACTGTTCATTTCACTGATATGAGACTCTATTTCTCCCTCTGACACAAACAATGGGGCACTATTCTTCCTATTGACACCAACAATGGGGCATTATTCCTTCCAATGACACCAATGATTGGGCATTATTCCTACCACTGAAACCAAAGATTGGGTGCAATTCCTCCCATTACCAATGATGGGGCAATATTTTTCCCACTCACACCAATGTCCACCCTCCCTAAAGTCTGAAGGACAATAAACTGACCCTTTGTTTAGAAAGTTCTGGTCTATACTGTTTAAAACCCAGTAATACACTGTCTCACCCTGCTCTGCACATGCTCAGTTGCTCTCTATTTTTAGGCACTTTGCCAAATTTTCAGAGGCTGATCTTCTGACAGCCCAAAGATCTACTACTGTTCAGGGCCTCTGGGCTTCAGCAAAATGGCAGCCTCTAGCATAAAGAAACAGGAGTAATGCTGCAGGCAATTTACAGCACACACTAATTTTGGTAGCATAATTAATATTGTGTAATGTATGTTGCTTGCTAAAGAACATTATTTTTATCAAGTTGTAATGGGTAAAGTTTCACTTTAAACACTCATTGTGTGTGCGTGTGCGTGTGTGTGCGCAGCAAGCTCTGTTGCTGTGTTGCTTTGTTCCCCTCTTTTTAAAGGACTTTTTTTTTCTTTAATTGAAGTTAGTTTTTTTTTTTGATGCTGGTGTTTGGGTTTTATTTACCTTTTTGTCCTTCAGCTCTGTTTATTTGTGATTCATTTTGTCAGGGTCTTTATTTTTTATTTATTTGATGGTGTCAGCAGCACCAATAGCAGTGGGAAGCTCTGTTTAGTTGCCCTTTTGTGGAGCACGGCAATAATATTGTGGTGCACTTTATTCCACAAAAGCGCCACCGGTTTGCATTGCACCATATTCTCCATATACAACTCTTTCTATAGCTTCTAAAAAAAGTTGATAATAAGCTCCACATTAACATCCTATCTGGAAGTATACAGATATCTCACCCCTGAAAATGGTGTGTGTGTTGGGGGGGGGGGCTGACACTCTGGACTTCAGTGGGGCGCACAGACAACAGAATAAAATATTTTGTTACCAAATTTTATTAACAAATCTTAGTTTAAAATACATAACTGTATTGCATTAAAAATACTAGAAAAAGCTATTTCCTGAGAGAAAACTCCTCAATGGCTTAGACACGCTGTAGATGTTATAAAGGGGGCTTGGCATTAACTTTGTGACTGACTATGTGTTTTTGCGGGGACAAGGCCAGTTTCTTCAGAGGACTCCAAGGTCAATTCTTAGAGTAGCTGATTCCACTTGACCAGGACGCCCATCAAAAAAAGTGGGGGGAAGAAGGTGGATATCCAGCACAAAGAACCCCTGGAGGGGCAAACACAGAGACCCTTAACAAGAACAGCCATGTTAGGGGTCATATAAGGTGTCCATACCCATGGAGGTGGTGAGGCAAACCCAGTTGTTTAGCAGTTGGTACTCAAATATATACGACAAGTTTGTGGAAAGTTTCTCAGGTGATTTGTTTGGCAAACCATCCAATTTAATCAGTACATATACATTCTTTTCAGTGAACAACAAAGTTTACTCCAAAGTTTCAACATATTCACTCAGGATATAATTCAACTTACATTTAACCCACAGCGAGTCCATAAAAAGAGGGAGATTGCCCTTTGGCACTCCTCCAACGTACTTTCCTATCTCGGAGACCCAAAGGAAGAGGCAGAATTGTTCCTGTGTAGCCATCAGCCAGCAGCATTTATATCCACATCCAGTATTGGATGAGCCTTGGCATCTAGAGGCAGGGCATGTGTCCTTCATTTCTGGCAGTGGGCATTCTATACACCCAAAGCATGTGAAGAAGTTGGTGTAGTTTGCTAACCAAGCCTAATTATCATCCTTCTCTGCCTCCAAGTAATAAAAAACCTTGCAAGCTGCTAGGAAAATATAAGAATAAATAATAACAAATAAAACAAAATAAAATAAAAAATAAGAACCACTCCACACTAGCATGTGACAATGTGGACAATTTGTCCTACTGTGCTAAGTTACACCTAAAAATGTGAAATCCTCTCTGTGTCAGCAGATATGCACCTATTGCGACTCTCATATATTTTAGCAAACAAAACTGTATTCAATCCCCTGAAGAATTCATGCGTGTGGTGACAAATTGCTTAGGGATGGGACCTTGGATGACATCACAATGCTAGTTTGAACATGAGCTTGAGGTAATTGTATAGCAGTGGAGGCGGGTATTGCACAGGATTACTGGATCTTAAATATTTATTTATTTTCAACAGTATGTTTCAGGGGACAAGCCAAAGTAAGAAAGTCACTATCACCAATTCTCAATATGGCTGCAGGTTGCACACTCCTGTCCACATTGGCACTCGCAGGGCGTACGCAGGGCATGATGGCACACATGGGTGTGCAAGTGCGTAAATTGACAGGTGTGCATGTGCGGTGGCAAGAGCAGAGCACAATAGATTCTGGTGCCTATTCACCTTTAAATGGACAGCAGCTCTGACCGCTAGTTGCTGGATGATCATCAGCCCTCCTGTGTTCCTGTGACCTGTTCTATTACTAGTGGATATCCTGTTGCCAACTCCGGATTGCCTTTGACCTGTCTTGTCTCATCTCCCGGCTCTGACCCTTGGCTTGCTTCACTGACTTCGCTGCTGCCTGATTACCAGTGTATTACCTTGGCTTGCCTTCTGACCCTGCCTCTGCCTGACCACCCATGATTGACCTCAGCCTGTTCCTGATTTTGCTTCCTGCTCATGCTTCTGTGCAATTCTCTGTTCATGACTTTCGGCCTGAATCCTGCCCTGTCATCTGCCTGCTGCCAATTTATGCCTGCCATGTCTGGGGAACATCTACCTGCTGCCAAGTTCCACCTGCCATGTCTGGGGAACATCTACCTGCTGCCAAGTTCCATCTGTCACATCTGGGGAACATCTGCCTGCTGCCATGTTCCACCTGCCACTTCTGGGGAACATCAGCTCTGCAGTCGCTCCTACCAGTCCTATATATTCAGGTGGCTGTCATCACAAGCTTGTCAGGCTCTTACAGCTGACAATCCATGCTTCTTTGGGCCGAGCACCTCCTGTCCCTACCCTCAGGAGTGTTCTGCACTGAGCCGCAAGGGGAGACCTCTCAGCACTCTAGCCTCTGACCAGGTACGTGACAATATGGTTGCTGTGGTAGTTTTAAGAGGAAGGAGGACATGAGGCTGGTTTCCAATGGCAGGTTTCATCCTCACAAACCCGCTGGAGTCCTACGTGCCTGAGGGGAGATAGCTGAAGACACTATCATCTTTAGTTCCTCCTATGGTAACTTGTAAACTCTGATAAATGGCTACACAAATCTTATATGGAATAAAAAAATTGGAACGGCCACCATTTTATTCTCAAGGTCCTCTGTTTTATAAAATATATATAAAAGTTTGAGGTTCTAACTAATTATCTGACCAAAAAAAAGCTGATTTTAATGTGTGTGGAAAGTTTATTTTATTTTACAGCAAGTGGTAAAATAAAATAAACCTATTCTCATTCCCTAGCTCTGAACTATATAGATAGCTTATATTTTGCCAGCTAGTTTGTAAGCCATTTTTATTTTTTGGCAAAGGAGGAATACAGTTTTATTTTTTTAAATAAAGATGGAGTCTGCCTGCTCACTCCCTCATGAATTGCCTCCTATGGAAAATTGTTAGATTCTGTGTGTCAGGAACCGTAAGCCACATGGAGAGAGAAAGAGCAGTTAAAAAAATCACACTTTTAATGAAACAGCAAAAATAACTCAGTTCAGGAATGTAGTCAACAACAGAAGCAGCAGAATGCAGCAAATCAGTACCATTTTAATAAAGTGTCTGTAAGAAAATAACACATTTATTCTTCCACGTGGAAATATAATTTTTCTCTGCTTCTGAAAATTCCTTGGATAAAATATATGATTCTGTGCATAAAATTTCTTCAATTTTCATATCATATTTGAGGGTGGAAATTTTTGTTTACTTTCAAATTTCTTCCTAATAAATGTTAAGTCCCTGCTTTTCAAATTGCCAAATTTGAAAATTTGTAAAATTATTATACAGTGTTTCTAGAAAAAAAGTTTAACATTTTTGGCTGAAATATGCCATCCTACCCTCCAAAACCGCCTAAAACTGTCTAACACCATAAAGAATGTGATTCAGTACAGCAAATTCTTCAATGTATTTTAATAAATGCAACACAGTTTAATTTAATACTTACAGCTGAAATATGCCAACTCCTAGCCTCTCAAATGGTGCCTATTCTATTCTTCCATTTAGGTTTTGCTGAAATAAGAATAATCTCTGTCTGCATGGATAGCTACCATCAAAATGGCTAAGATTCTTTTAGCTAATCTATACAAATTTCTTATAGTGCCTTTCTAGAAAATACATTTGTTATTAATATTTTAGCCTGACCTAAGCTGTATCTCTGCCTCCAAACACACCTCCTATTCAAAAGGATGATATTCTGTTCTGCATATGGGCAGTTTTTTAAAACATGTGTTTGAAACAATACAGTTTCAATTTTTATCCTAAAGTGCTTCAAATAGTGATTCATATAAATATAAATACAAAATGCTCCAATTCAGATATCCAAAAAGTGCAAGTATCTAATAATTAATTTTGTGCTTATTAAAGTGGTTTATAGTGTTCATACACAGTGTCACACTTCGTGTCACACTTGTAAATCTGCAGCACTGCAACCACACTCT